GTGGGAATTAGAATTTGGTGGAACAGAGAATATAATTATTGTTCTGGATTAGTTTATTTAATAGAGAAAAATCTGTCTCCACTTCTCTATCATTCTTAGAATTCCTCGATGACCAAAATAGTATTACAATTCTTCATTCTAAAAATAGTAATTATTTATCAATAACAAAAAAAAATGTCAATATTTATTGGTCTAAGATTCTTAAGCTGATTACACTTAGAATATTACAATTTATCGCTCTTTAGAATATTACCGTTCAAATTAGGAGTGAAAATAAAGAAATGGCTAATAGCTCAAATCGTCAACCACTAGTTTTGTACACTCGTCGACCAACCCACATTGGTAAAGTAATATTCTAAAAGAAAAAGGTTTATTATTTCTAAAAGAATTTACATTTTAAAAAATAATAAAACTAATTAATTGAAACCCTCGATTACCGGTTTGACTGGTTTCCGGTTAGATTGGTATATTTTGAAGGATTTGTTTGGGATAAGAGAGTATATGTTTTCAATCAACGGCCATGGGTAGTTGACTTCTCCAATTTTAATTTATTTAACAAATTATAATTTTCAAGGAAATTCGAAAAATTTGAAAAAAAAAATTTAATGTCATTATTAGACGAACACGACTCTCCACAATAGCATGGGGTCCACTTTGAGCATAAGCTCTAGTGACTTTGCTTTGGGCTTTTCCAAGAAGTCTCGTACCAATGGAATTATTTTTCTTCAGTTATAAACGCATGACCATTCCCTAAATTAGCTAATGTGAGACTTCAATCATCCAACACTCCTAACATAGCTTTCTAATACATAAATTATTTATTTTATTTTATTTTATAATTTTTTAAAATTCGTTTTGTGTGTTCCAATGTCAAATGAGTTTAGGTGGGTGTATTGTGCTTCATCTTGGCTTTGCTTTCTGAGTCAGCAATAGGTAATAAATAAATAAATAGATAAATATATATATATATTTGGCTATTATTAATAATAATATTTTTTTGGTTTCTTCTTATTGGGTAAGTGAGGGAATTTCCCAAAGCTCAGTGGGGCATATGTGCAAATATTTGGACTGCACACGTGTAGGTCATAGCATGGCACGTGGGTATTGTTTTCAAAAGGAATGGTTTGGAATCTAAGAAGATTTTTCAAGACTGTTTTGCCCCTTCCTTCCCATGTGAGACAACCCCTTGCCCAATTGACCAATCGGGATTTTACAGGTTGGCATTTTCTTTTTTGGATTTTTTTTCTTTTTGAGTGCCTTCAAAGTCGGGCAAGTTATCATCTTTTATCAATCCCAAACAACCATGCTCCATACACTTCAATGATTATAACCATTAATTATCATTTCAAAAGTCGACAGTTTAATCTTTCATTTTTATAATTGTCTAATTAAATAATAAATATATTTTAATTGAAGGATTTAATTTTTTTTTCTTTTTTAATAACAAATATAAAAAAAAAAATATTAGTAAAGTGCATGCGTCACACTAGCAAAATGGACGGTCAAAAAGTTAAAACAATAAAATTGACCAATTTCGTATATATTTATTATATAAAAAATTGTCCCTAAATTTGTAGGGTCCACTTTTTTTTGGATAAAATTAAACACATACAGTTGGATTAACCGACCAAATCAGTTTAAACTAATCCGACCAACAACTTTCTTAAATAGTTATATTTTGAAATTTCAGGAAGTAAATAGATATATTGAATTTTTTCAATATAAAATAAAAAACGAGTACTAGACAAATTAAAATATTACTCTACTTCTGTGTTTATCTTTTATTAACTTTTTAATTTTTTATTTAAATTATTAAACCCGAATATTAATTTTGTCTTTAAATTTTAAATAAAAGTTTATAAAGGCTAGAATGCATTATACGTGCATCATACTGTTCATACCTAAATAATTTAGGCTAAATAACCACTTATAGAATAGGAAATAAATGTGGGGTTTTAATGAAAGTTTGACATACTAGAGTAACACGTGGTATACACATTTTAGCGCTATTAAAACATTAGTGTACCGACCATAAACTAAATATCTAAATATAAAAATAATTTAAATCATTACTAAATTATAGTTGTACTAACTTTAATGACATTCATAAAAATAAAAAAAATAAAAAAAAATCCTATTTTATTTTAAACATTAAGTCAAACTTTTAGTTAATGGAAAGAAAACCTAACCAAATGCTTATAAGACCTGAGGTGTGAGGAGAGGGTATTATTAGGATTTGTTAGGTTGCATAATTTATGCTAATTAAATTAATTTAATAATAATAATAATAATATTAAACATTTTAAATTATTTTCTTAAATTATCCACCGCCCTTTTCAAGTTGGAACTCCATCTCAGCAACCGGTCGGTTCAATTTATTTTCCTAATTTCAGTGATGTCATTCCCACTTACCAAATTACGTAATAAATTTATTATTTAAAAATCCATTTTTTTAGTATTTTATTATTTGTTTAGAATATTATTTAAATTACATAATTTTTAATTTTTTATGTTTAATTCTTGTCCTGAACATGAAAGTGGCGTGATTTCTAGTGGCGAACCGTGAGGGGAAAAGAGACGTGGGAGGTGGGCCCCACAGAACCGAGGAAAGGCACTCGTGGACAAAGCTGGCCACGAGTTTTACAAAGTGGACGGTGGGGTCCACATGTGACATGCCAGACCAATCATCAGCTTCCACGTTTTAGGCTACTAAATAGTCCTGATTGGATTAGCCTAACAGTTGTTGCCACATCGGATTATTGGAGTTGACTCATTCCTTACTCTTCCAACTCACCACCACACACTTAAAAGTCCCATTGTATAGAGACCCTCATAATTACGTGGTTCATTTATCCGTTATAAAATATAATCTTTTAATAATGGTTGGTTTTTCTAATACCCATACAAAAAATAATAATAATAATAATCAAAGAAAATATTATGTTATTTCCTTAAAAAAAAAAAAGTTTTTATCATATTGAGATTATTTCTTTCATCCGTTACTCAGGATCATTCATGGTTAATAATATATTTGAAAATGCGTCATGTCATATCATATATTTGATGCATTTTATATTTAAATATTTTATAAATAAATTGACTGACCTATACCATTGTACCATTTCATCAAGTTTTTCATCTCAAACTATTATAAATAAAGTGTATCAGTGTTTTGTTTTTACAGAGTGTGTTGTAATTTGAGGAGAGAAAAAGAAAATTTAGTCTTTAAAGAAAATGAAATAAATGAAGGAAGATATTTTGTGGAAATGTTAGGGGGGGGAGACAAGACAAGCTTAGGGGACCAAAGGCAATTGCCAGCTAAATGCCTATAAATTTGGAATCCAAGTAATAAGGCCACCATTATATTGCTTGTGTGATGATGTGGGGGTGTGTGTGTGACAAACAAACTTTATTGCTTCACTTTTGAATATTTGAATATTTTGTGGTTCCTCAAATGGGTTTACACAATGACCTAAATAATTATTGTTGGCTTTTAAATTGGGGTCAAAAGTTTCCTTTTTGTCACACCCCATTACCCCGTTCAAAACACCATAATCATAATTCCGAATCCAAATTATTCGATGGTCTTCATATTCTTGGGCACCTGATGCTCCCGACATTCTCCCGTATCTACTGTGATATGGTCAAGTTATCCACTCATAATTCAAGAATTCGAAATCTAGATTATTCTAATCGACATTCGACTACATTTTATGTGTTATGGTCAAGTTACCTACTTCTGATGTCCAAGATTTAGGTCAAAATTTGGAATCTAGATTATTTGGCACATGATGGCCCCGACATTCTAGAACATCTGATGGCGCCAATATTCCACTGTATCCCTTGTGGTATGGTTAGGTTATCTACTCCTCACTTCTCAAGAGTGAAAACTATTCTCACAGACCAAACTTTGTTCTCACTCATATGTATCCTAAGAAAATTACTAAGAGATCACCCACCATAGAATTGCTCAAAGTAAAACACTTTTAACTATGAAGTTTTTATGATTGGGCTACTGACGATGAATGTGCACCTTGTTGATATAACTATTTTCTTTAAACTTTTCTTAGTTATCTTATCTTTAGGATCGCTCTCATTCGGATGTTGTCTCAATTCATTCATATACCTCTCATTTACTCGAATGTCAGATTACAAATGTGATGTCACAGGCTTTTAGTCGGGTCGAGAATTCAATCTTCCAAGCCATATTTGTTGAAGGAAATAATAATAATTTATTTTATTTTTAAAATTGTTACAATATTCTACACACTTTCAAATAGAGAAATCGGGCCCATAAACCAAGCCTCATAAATGGGCCTTCTTGGTGCGCCTTTGTGGAGGGTCAAGGCCCAATAAGCCTTGTCGTGAATATAAATGGCTTGAGTTTGTTTTCTCATGAATTCAATATAGATATTTCTTCTATGGATCAAATTCAAAGAAATCCCTAAACCCTAAATTAAATTATATAAAAAAAAAGAATTTTCAAAAGAAAATTTAGTAAATGTTACCGTTTAAATTTAATGATTATTGGAACAACAGGCTTAATAGTTTTTCAAAATCAAAGTTGGAGGGTCAATGTAAGATCCTACATCGGTTTAGAGGGAAACAAAACATTACCGATGTCTTTCTCTAGTAAATGTACTTTAAAATCATGAAGCTAATAGGGACAAGATCTCTTCCAAGGGACTTGATCTGTTGCAGTCCAAACGGTTAACAAAATTATTAGTCATTATATCAAAATTGAGAGGAAATCTAAGGATTTATAAGAATTTTTTGTCATCCCTAAAATCTTATCCAATTTGGACAATAAACTTAAAACTTTATTTTGAATTTTCGAAAATGGGGATATAAATACACACGAACCAACCAACCAAACTGACAGGTGTATTTGCAAGTTCGTTTGGATTTGTCAGAATTCTTAAGCTCCAAGCTCTGTGAACGACGATTATCCATAAGTTTGTTGGAATTAAATTGGAAGGGACAGTTGAATACAGTTGATTGTTCAGAATTGATTTCTGCGTAAGGACAAAGGCAACGACGTGACCATCATTCGGTTCCATCGAATCTTACGAACCCAGTGCTCCGCGCCAAGTCACCCCTTCCTTTTTCCTTCGCCACATTGGTTTTCTTCAGCACCCATCTCCTTGATTTCCTCCAAACCTCTTACCCTTCATCAATTTACTCTGTTTTTCTTCAACCCCACCTCGAAAATGGCTGTTTTCAGCCATTTTTTCTAGTTGTTGCCATGGGAGATGGGTTAACTTAACGTATTCGAACAACCCTTCTTCGGTTTCGTACGTTTCTTCTTCTTCTTCTTCTTCTTCTTCTTCTTCTTCTCTTTCTCTCTCGATCTGTACCCTTTTTTTCACTTAGTTTTTTGGATTCGATTACTTCTTGAAACCTGTGGCGGTGGAGGGAGTTAGTCCCAAGGGCAAAACGAACGCCTGCCGCTGACCCTGTTTCTGGATTTGCTCGTATCAGCTGTCTTTGTCTCCTCACCGATGTGATTTGTATGGAATCTTATTGAGATCTGCGTTATCTGTCGGGGAATTTTATCAGGTATCATTCTGGACGAGTTGAGATGCTTATATATGATGACTGATTACTCTTCAAATAGCTTCATTAGTGCAGAATTTGGACTGTTTTTACTATAGTTTCATCTGGGTACTTCCCCTTTTTCTTGCATCTCTGAGTTCTGTCTTTTGGTTTAGCTTACAACCAGTAATTTGGATGATTATCAGTTCATATCACCTGCTTACTGTTCTTGATGTTCGAAGCATTACCCTAATCCTGAAGCTTTTGTAGATCTTTGAAATTAGCTTTTATTTGAACCATGATTTTTGTGTTGAATACGTGCATATGGATTTCTTTTGATATTTTGTGAGTTATATTCATTGTTTTATTGGTTGGTATGAATGTCTTTTGATCTTAAGTAGCATGAGCGATTCTTTCAATGGACTCTTATTTGTTAATATGAGTTAAGTATTTAGAGAGTTCTTTTGAGTTTAAGAAACACTTAATAAGCTAGATTCCTATGAGCTTGGTTGCTAGCATATTGGAACTTGCAAGATCTCGGTTACGATTTCTTTGGTAATGTGCAAGTAATCGTCCTCTTCGCACGGACCCAATTGTTATTTGAAGTTTTTTATATGTTCTTAAACGTACTTCTTTTGCACCATCTCCATACGTTCAAATGCTTTATTTAAAGTATTTACAATCAATCAAGTTTGAATATGGTACTAAGGCTTCAATAAACATGTGGTTAGATGCCTACTGATTGTGCATTTTCCTTGTTTTGTTTCAATTTCTTGAGAAAAGGAAAAAAAATTCAAATGCAATATGGAGAAAAGGAAAAGAATCACACAGTACAGGGAGAGGCTAGACAAAACACTCGCATCTACCGACCTGTCAACCCAGGAGTCTATCAAGTCCCTTGTGTCTAATCAACTTCGTCGTTTGGATTCGAAACATGGAACTGAAGGTTGGTGATGGACTGATGGGTCAGGATGTTTTGGACAATCTTGAGCTTCTGTATGTCTTTGTCGTGTCGGTTTAGCCATCCATTTCTGGAGGTTCTAATCTCTTTTATATGTTGAAGGATGTAACGAAAACGTAGTAGCGAGAAGAACCGCTGAAGTATCGAATTTTCTTGACATGTTGAGGAGTGCTTCCAGTAATGGTAGCAGCAGAGCTTCTGAGACGGCGCATTCTGAATGGAAAGTATGCTATGCTCAAATTTCATCTTCATTGTTTCTGTTGTTTTTGATATTCTGGGGGATAGCTTGTATGTTTCCATGCAATATGCAACGTTTTGAAGCTTTGACAAGCTGTATAGTTGTTGCTGCAACTTGTTCTTACTCCTATATTTCAGAAAATGTTAATTTTTCGTTTAATCCAACGGTTCATAGCAGTTGGATTCTATGATTACTTAAAATCTTCAATATTCCAGACAAAGCACGATGATGAAGAGTTTCGGGTTATGTATCGTGAAGGACCAAAGGGCGCTCCGTATCATACATTACTTGTTGAAGGCTTTGTAGATGGGCCTGTTGATGTTTGTAAGTGTCACTGACAAACACTTGACTTTATCCTAAAAATTTTAAGCTAAATCACATTTAACCTCAATGTGATTGATGTTCATGGACACAACTCCAACCAATTTGTCTGCAGGTTTGTGCACTTCCTGGGAGTCTGAATTGTATAAGAGATGGTGAGCATAATCCTTTATCTCTTATGGTTTCTTGTTCAGCCATAGCTGAACCGCTAAGCAATGTGACGTTTGTACGAGTCTTAGTCACTCGTTTCCTGTTTCGAATGCTCTCCATCAGGTGGCCTCAATTTAATCTGCCATCTTTCAAAATTCTCACCAGCAAATGTCTCGAGAAAGTACGGATCAGTGAACAGATTGCGTTAGTAAGGTTTGTCTAGCTATACTGTCAGCACTTACACACACACACACACACACTCATGGATATCAACATTCTTCATTCTATTTTGAAATACTGAACTATTAATGTTTTTGAAAGCAAGGGTGAAGGTTTCATGGCCGCTGTCGACCAGGGAGATCGTTGTGCACTACTTTTTGTTCGAGTACTTTCAGGATGATCTTGTCGTTGTTCTTCTGAACTCGGTAATATTTCAACAAGATTATGCACTTCTAGACCTTCTAAACCAAGGAAATCATTGTGCACTACTTTGGCCTAACTTCTAGATTGAAATCTGAATACAAAGATCTTTGTTCATTTCAGATATCTGATCTGGACAGTATTGATATAACTACTCATGGATTCACCAGGCATGCTATCCCGGACCCAGAAGACGTAATAAGGATTGATGTCGTGGGAGGCTTTGCTATACAGAAGGTGTCAGATACTCGGAGCTACTTCCGGTGAGAAGTTTCTTTCTCTCTTCTATCTTTGACATTAATTTACTAAGCCTAGCTATCTCCGGATAGAGTTTGTAATGCATGCTAAAGAACTTGAGTATTAAAATTGTCATCCTTCTGCAATAATGCACCACTATGGAGCTTGGAAAGGAGCCTATCTCGAAAATTTAGTGTCCTGGAAGGGATCCTTTTTTTCTACCTTGTACATATCATATGGAACTTGAACACTGAAAAATCTTGCAGGACAATTGCAAACATGGATATGAAGCTGGATTTTGTCCCTCCATCGCTCATAAACTTTGTCTCAAGGCAACTCATTGGCAGTGGTTTCCGACTCTATCAAAAGGTTAAACATTTTTCGAACCCAATATAAACAGGAACTAATCACCAAAAGCATAATGTTTGTTGCTCTGTTTTTATAGATCTCGTTTTCAAATTATCAATATGAGATCCCACATTAGTTGGAGAGGGAAACGAAGCATTGTTTATAAGGGTGTGGAAACCTCTCCATACCAGACGCATTTTATGACTTTCAGGGGAAGCCTAGAAGGGAAAGTTAAAAAAGGACAATACCTACTAGTCGTATGCTTGGACTATTACAAATGGTATCAGAGCCAGACATCAGGTGGTGTGCTAGCGAGGATGCTGGCCCCTGAAGAGGGTGGATTGTGAGATCCTACATTGGTTGGAGCGGGGAACGAAACATTCCTTATATGGGCGTGAAAACCTCTCCCTAGCATACACGTTTTAAAACCTTGAGAGGAAGTCCAGAAGGGAAAGCCCAAAGAGGACAGTATCTACTAGCGGTGGGCTTGGATCATTACAAATGGTATCAAAGCCAGACATTAGATGGTGTGCCAACGAGGACACTGGCCCCCCAAGAGGGTGGATTGTGAGATCCCACGTTAGTTGGAGAGGTGAATGAAACATTCCTTATAAGGGCTTCGTAGAAACCTCTCCCTAAGCAGACACCCAACGAGGACAATACGTTCCATTATAAGGAATGCCTTGAATGTTCAAATCTGATGAAGGTAGTGGCTTTGATTATAAGGAAATGCTACAACCTCGATTATAAGGAATGCCTAACCCACCGTCGTCTTGAACATTCCAATTGTCAACATCATTGCAGGTAGTGGCTTCTATGTTCAAATCTGATGAAGATTTTATGAATGCCTTGAAAGACCCACTGTACACTCGTATAAATGAAGCTCTCTACGGGAGGAATCAACAAGATAAGGTGTTGGAAGAAAATGAGCTCAGTTTTCAAATCGATCAAACTGGAATGCATCATTTTCAAGAGGTGCATCTGGAAAACTCGACCGAAGAGCCGCAGGAAAACTCGATGGAAGATGAGAAGGATCATGTCATATACGATGCAAACGAGCCCACAAAAACTGCCATGGAAATTAACGAGATTGAGGAGGAAGAGTACATAGAAATTAGGCACGATGAAGACGAAGATCGAGATAAAGATGCCATTTTAGGAAGAAGTATTGCAGAAAAATGTAATTTGAAGGATCAAAGAATCACTAAAATCAGTCCAGAGGTGGAAAAGGCTCTGAAAACTTTAGACGACGCCATTTATATGATGAGGAAACGTAGATCCAATACTGAAACAAAGGCTGCTTCATGCTTGAGTGATGAAAAGCCTCCGAATATAGCGAAGGATACTGGAAAGAACTCGAGTACTTCGGAAGACAGCAACGTTCATCCGAAAGTCGAGCTTTCTGCTAGTTTGTCAAAGAACAAAACCACTGAGAGAACTTCAAATGAACCTGCTCGAACTAGTTCTAACCATAGTTCCAGGTAATAGTTTTGACTAAATCACTCCATTTTCTATGACGTGATCATAATGAATGCTTTCAAATGATATCTGAATCAGATGGTTTCTTGACATTATTGAGTATGTTTCTGAAGCATCATGTTCATTCTCTGTTATATATATGGATCATACCATCTTAGTTAAACTAATTCTATGGGGGTATTATATAGCTGTTGTTATTGTTTAGCCATGACGAACTTGGTAGGCCGTAACTCTCCTTCGAGCTGCCTTCCTTGTGAAAATCCACTGGGTCGACCCGAAAGGCTGAATTTCATGGTCGAGGTTGTAACAGCCCAAGCCCACCACTAGTATATATTGTCCTCTTTAAGCTTTCCCTTTCGAGTTTCTCCTCAAGGCTTTTAAAATGCGTCTTCTAGGGGAAGGTTTTTACACCCTTATAAAAAATGCTTTGTTCTCCCCCGGGGAGGAGAACGAAATACCCTTTGTAAGGGTGTGGAAACATCTCCCTCATAGACACATTTTAAAAGCCTTGAGGAGAAATTCGAAGGGGAAAGCCCAAAGAAGACAATATCTGCTAGTGGTGGGTTTGGACTATTACAGGTAAAGACCGTTTGAATGGTTGCCAAAGCAATATCATGTAATCCAAGAAAAAAACGTGAAGTCTAGACTTAAGCTATTACGATATTGAATATATCTGATAAGTTTTTTTTTTTGTGTCAAATTCAATCGGTTGTTCTGTGAGATTAGCTGAGTACGTATCAAAACGTACATTGATTTAGACAAAGAAAAGTGATCCATTTTAGCTGAGAATTGTATTGCAGGCGTTTAGGATCATCAAGTTCTTTGTCCAAGGATGTCAACCACAACAAAATAGTTCCAGCATCTCCGGAACAGAAAATTTTACCCCTCGCACCTGCTGAAGTTAACCACACAATGTCGAGTTTCATCAAACACGGACCCACCAGAAACCCGAATTCGAATCAAAGTTCAGATTATCATGTTAAGCAACCGACCAGTGAGCATAATGGCGTCGACAAAATCAGCGAAAACACAGTGGAGAGGTACATAAGGAACAGAAAAACCCGGTACTGGTGCTTTCCGGGCAGTCCGATGGGGCTTAAGAAAGGAAGGAGCTGAAATCTAGTTGATGGTGAAGCAGAAATGGCAAAAGCTTTTCTGAAGAAGCCACTCTGAACTCATGATTCAACGGAGTTTCTTCTTAACATCATACTACAGCAGTAAAAATATTTATGTACCTTAGCTTTCTTTTTTTTAAAGTGATTTGAACTAATAATAAATATTTATCTTAGTTAGTCGATCTCGTTAGAATTTGAATTATTTTGATTTTATTAAGTATGACCGAGTACAATATTTTATAATATATCGAGATAATATTTTTTTTAGCAAGGAATTGGGAGTTCCAAGCTCACGAACTCTAATAACTAAGTCTATCGCTAGTAGATATTGTCTGTTTTTACTTTTGCTTGTTACGTATAGTCGTCAGCCTCAAAAATGTTACTCTCTAACTAACGTGGGATCTCACCATCCACCCTCTTAGGGGGTCCGACATTCTTGCTGGCACACCGCTTGATGTCTAATTCTGATACCATTTATAATAGTTCGAAGCCACCGCTGATACATACATACATACGGTGAGTTGGTTAAGTATACCCGTGAGCCTCAAAAGAGAGATTTTTCGTTCCCTCTCTATTCTCACACAAGCAATTCTAACACCACTCTAAAACCTCGTTAAACCCCGGGTGAGTGGATTCGGTTCCAAACAAATCGGACCGATTCTTCTTCCAATGTCGAAGGCGAAGCTGCGATCTTCACTTCTCGCCGTTCTGCGCTGCAATACAACTCACTCATCCGCCATTAATTTCCCAAATGTTTCCAATTCGGCTCTATCAGCCCAAATTCCGTCTAATTGCATCTCACTCTCGCAACTTCCTTCCACCGCAGAATGCTTTCGCCCGTGTCGATCCTCTAGATGTGAATTTCTCAACTATCTCAGGTTTCCCTCGAGGGTTTTTAGTTCTCGATCGGCAGAGGCGTCGGACCTGAAACTTAGGTGCTGGAATTGTGGCGCTGCGGCTCCAACGTCAGTGGTGTTTCTGGTGTGCGATTCTTGTCGGAGCATTCAGCCTTTGGACCAGTCGGTGGATTATTTTCAGATATTTGGCTTGTAAGTGTAAAGAAAAACAAGAATTTATTTTCCTTTCTTAACCTATTTTAATATTGTATTGGTAGCTGTGAGAATGACTAGATGATGGAATTTGATTATCAACTGATTATGGGAAGGGATGAAATATTTGAACTTAGGGCTTGAGGGTCTGTTAAAATTCTTTTGGGTCCAAATAGAATGAAAAAAAATTCTGATGCATCAATTACAAAGCTTCTCTTTCTCTTCATCTTCTGCTCTGTTCATATTGCCTCTGAGTACTCAAAGTCCAAGGAAACTTTGGCTTATGGTTTCTTGATTTCGAGAAAATTGATGTAATCAACCCGTCATGTTTCTTACCTTGAACCTTCCGCCTCATTTACTGGAGGGCATATAGGATTCTTCTCTGACTCATTGCTAGTAGGTGGGAATTATTGAAATGATGTATAATTAGAATTCCTAAATCTTTTTCCAGGGAAAAGGAGTATGAAATTGGAGATGTCAATCTGGAGAGCCAGTATAAAGATTGGCAGAAGAAATTACATCCCGACTTAGTTCATTCAAAATCAGACGTCTGTCTCATTTCATCTTTGAGAAGTTTGGTAATCTTTTAGGCTCTAATTTTCCGTTTCTTGAGTTTTGTAGAGAGAAAGAGAATATGCTGCTGAACAATCTGCTCGGGTCATCGATGCTTACCGCACTCTTAGTAAGCCATTGTCGAGAGCAATATATATTGTAAGTATGCTGTCTACCTTATCATCATTATTAATTTTTGTATCTTATTTGTGTTCTAAATGCCATGCTATCATCCATTTCTACCTCTAGTTACTTGAAGTCATGTGATGATTTAAGCTGGGTAATTGGAATGAAACATTCTCAGGAAATTTCTTCATACCAAGTTTCCTTAATAATAGTTCCTTTGCAACCCCATCCCACTTACACTATACATGGAAGTGATGGACCAACATGTGATGGTAACTAGAATTGAACCAATTGATTGAGCTTCTTCATAATAGTTGTGCTTTGAAAGAATTGTTTTGCAACTATTTTATATGATTTGGTATTTTGGAGTTAAAAACGTCTCATGTTTGAGTTTTGATGCACTGGGTGAAGGTTGTTTTCCCATTTTTGCCTAAAGGGGCAGAGCATATCACTCAATTATAGGCTCAGGCATTTGAGTCCTAGAACGGGCATGGGATTGTTTGTAAGTTCTAAATGGAAAGATGTGGAGACTGCACTCTTAAGCATAATCCTAAGTGATGTTTAGTGTTGGGATCAAATAACATTTCCTCATGTGACAACCCATATCGGTTTGGGAGGGGAACAAAGCATTCCTTACAAGGGTGTGGAACCTCTCCCTCGTTGACGCGTTTTAAAACCGTGAGGCTGACGACGATCCGTAACGAGCCAAAGCAGACAATATTTGCTAGCAGTAAACTTGAGCTGTTATGTCTCATGACAACCAAAGTTCTGGGAACTGTTTGCTTTCTTTATCCTCTCTATGCCAATTTTATTTCCTACTCAGACACTTGAATAAACACTATTAGAATAGAATATCGGTTTATTTCCTACTCGGACTCTTGAATAAACACTATTAGAAGAGAATATCGGTTTATTTCCTACTCGGACTCTGTAATTGATGTTTGTGATCTTGGTTTATATACATTATGTTTATGGCATCTGCAATCTAGAATATCGGTTTAAATATTTTCTCGACTTCCTTTCTAATTTCCAAATTATCTACATTCTACAATATTTGGTCTTCCCCTCCAATGAGCTTGTAAGATTATATTGCCATCCTTTTTCAGCTGAAGCTTGAGGGTTTAGATGTCAATGAAGAGGATACAATATCTGAACCAGAGTTGCTAAATGAGGTAACTAGTAAAAACCTAAGTTCAACCCAGTCTGAGTTATTCAGTTCTGTGAGAGCTTTTGGCTTTCTGTTTGTAAAAGCATTTTATGAGATCATTTCATAGATCATGATAAGAAACTCATGCTCCTGATTTTCAATGCTCAGACTGCAAGCTTATGTTCTATTTACAGTTGATTTATATAAAGTTACGAAACCCTTATTGCAGATTATGGAAATCAGGGAAGCTGTAGAAGATGCATCGGGATCTCAGGAACTAAACCAGATTCAGTCACAGGTGCTACTCGGGCACTTGTTCCGATTATTGTCGTTATTGTTTTTCTTCTTTATACATACACTAATTCGGGTGGGAGATTGGAGGAGTAAGTTGCATCTAAAGAATTAAAGAGCTTTTTATGATGACTTAACCTGTTTCATCCGCCTTCTTGTTCATCTAGATGCAAGAGAAACTAAATCATTGGTCTAACACATTTGCAAAAGCATTGCGAAACCGGAACTTCGACGATGCCATCTCGTCTATCCAGCGAATGACCTACTACGAGCGGGTGAAGGAAGAAATTACAAAGAAGCTGTAGTGAAGGAGGTATAATCCATGGAAGCACTAGGTGTAGAATTCAATCTTTATCTACCTCTTGAAATGATTGCTCATATCTCAGTTTTTTAGTACTTAAAAGTTCATAAATTGGTGGTTAATATTCTAGCTGTGAGTAAAAATTTCATCAGTTTTGTGATTCTGATGTTGCTGAATGCCGGCAATTTCAGTGTATCAATAAGGAGACAGAAATTAAGAATGTTCAGAAACAGCCTACATACAATAAATACTCATTGATCTGTCTTGTTTGAGAAATTTTGTGGGCTTCTTTTTGTAGGAAATTTTCGATTATAAAGTATACTCATTCATTACAATAAAACTCAATAGACATGTCAAATTTTAGCTTGCTTAAAGCCAAAAGTTGGATTCTTCAACTTCAAATTTTAAAAAAAGGGTAAGAAAGTCAACCCCTATTTCTCAATGTATTCTTAAGCAAACTATCAAAACCTACAAACACCTCTAAAAGAACATTCAAATGCTAAATAAAAGATATCATATTTTAAACTTTCTTCTTCTAATTAAACCCAATTTTTGTTGAAGTACATCACGAGCCAAAATATGCTTACCCTCCCTATTGAGGCCAAAGAAAACTGTCCTGAAGTTAATACTGCTGGGAGCAATCCCACTGTCGAGCATATCAGATATAATCTGCAGGGCTTCTTCAGACCTCCCTGCTTCACACAGACAAGAAATCAGCATTGAATAAGCTTTAAAATCAGGAGAAGGCCCATTTTTCTTTATATAATGGAAAACCTTCCACGCTTCACCAAACTTTCCCATGTTCATATAGCCATATATCACTGCTGAGTAAGTAGCAATTGTTGGTTCACAACCCTCCTGCAGCATCTTTGCAAGTATCTCCAAAGCTCTTCTTGTTTGATTCTCCTTGAATGAATGAACTATGAATGATGTGTATACGTGCACGGTTGGATTTATACCGACCTGTTTCATAGCGTTCATCTTCGCCAACGCCTCGTCCGTTCGTCCCCTTTGTAGAAGTCCATGAATGATGCTTCCGTAAATGTAGTTATCTAGTTTAGATCTCTCAGTCCCTACCTCTTCTAGTAATGTCAACGCCTCGTCTAACTTCCCGACGCGACAAAGAGCTCGAATATACAAAGAGTATATGAGAGGAACCGTGAAACCGACATTTCGAAGGTTATCTATGCATCGTTTAGCATCTGAAAGTCTATCAAGTTTGCATAAACAACCTAGATAAGTTTCTAACAACTCCTTATCAGGAATGTACTTAGAATGAATCATTTCTTGTAACAAAGTAATGGCTTCATTTACCTTCCTCCGTTTTGATCCGCAAAGGGACATGATCAAATACTTATACGTATTGGCATTTGGCTTGATCTTACTTTGTTTCATTTCTTCAAATGATTTCAATGCAATCTCTGTAAGACCCGCTCGACCATATTGCATAATCATGATTGTCCAAGTATCTGGAGTTATTAAGCAACCCTTTCTTCTCATTTCATAGTAAAGACTTCTCATGTGCTTGAAATCTTTCCCGAGCCCGGCGACTTTAATCGCCATGTTGTAAGTTTCTGTAGTATGATTATAGCCCGGTTGCTTTCCTACCCAAGCAAAAAATTGTAATGCAGCACAACCATCCAAACTACATTTGCGCAATATCTCGAGAACGAATTCTGTAGTGAACTCGACGCTGCAGTTCTCCAATGCTTTCTTAATTTGTTTCCAATCTGTTGAAGATGACAGGATCCTGTAAACTTCATCAAGATCCTCCTCTCTGTAGTTTCTTGGAAGTGTCTCCGTGTGACAAGTAATACTTGTCGGTTTGGAATGCTCAAAGTTCACCTCCATATGAAGATCGTTTATCTTGGGTGCATCGTCTTCTCTATTTACCTCACATTCCTGTGGAAAGAGTTCAACTTTACTTCTCATTTTCTTTACTTTCTCTAAACTAATCATATCTCCCATTTTCTCCATATAAGACACTACTGATCGAAACAATTTGTCGGGGACAACGATATTCAGTTCGTGCATCTCATTCAGAACCTTGACTACCTCATCGGTTCTTGAAATCCTAAAAAGCTCCCTGATGAAGACTGAAAAGGATTTCCAAGTGGGCTTGTTTTCCATGGTTCTGAAAACGCTCCATGCTTCAGATATATGGTTTTGGCTGACATGACCGGCAACCACAGTCATGATAGCCACCGTATCTAATTCGATCCCTTTTTCCAGCATCTCTTTATAAAGCTCAAAGCCTTTCTCATACTTAGCCAACCTAAAGAGGTGTTGCATTAGTTGTGTGTAAGTCGAAGTAGTAGGCAAATAACCAATTTCTTTCATATTTTGAAACAGATCAAGAGCCTTCAAGATATCATTTTGCCTTAAATACCAATTAATGATAATTCCATATACCTTCCCATCAAGAACAGTTTTCTTCTTCATAATATTAACCAGTTCCAAAGCATCCTCGATCCGATTAGAGCGACAGAGTCCTCCAACCAGAATCTCGAAGTATTTCGGGTCGAGTACTATACCTTTACTATTGAGGTCATGAATGAACTTCAGAGCTTCTTTAATTCTCTTGGAAATGCAAAAACTCTTAAGAATGTAATGATAAACATCATGTTCTTGTACCTTAAACAATGCTACCATGTCTTTTGCAATGTCAAGAACAGAGGCAGTATCTCCTGATCCAGCAAAACAACTCAACAGCACCTTGGACATTTTCATGTCGACAACTCTAATTCCTTGCTTGACCATCTCACGGTAGAACTCCATGGCAAGTTCAGGCTTTCCAGCAGCAGAGAGTGAACAGATCAAAGTCTTGTAAACAACCCCATCTATCTCACACCCACTTTCCCTCATCTTACTGTAAACCATCAGGGCTTTTCCAGTTAACTTTGCATTGCCATAGAGAGAGATAAGAATGGTCCAAGTCTTGATATCTTTCTCCAAGGAGTGATACTCCATTTCCTCCACTAACTTCTCCACGAGCTTGAAATCTCTGGCTTCACCAGCAATGCTAAGCATTATGTTGATAACACTAGTTGTACACTGAAACCCATCTCTGGATTTCACCCAATTGAAGAACCCAAGAGCCAAATGAGGGAACTTAAAACACCTCTTAAGAACTTTCTCCACAACCTCAGAACTGAACCTAACATCCAAACTTCCCAATCTCTCCTCCATCGAAACTAACCCATTTCCACCACGAACGGCGGCTGCAACTTGATGTACAACCGAACTAACATCATTTTCTTCCAAGACAACCAACTGGATACCCTCAGTTTCCTGCTCGGCATTTTTACAAACACCTTGGGCGCATAGTAACTGTTCTTCCCCATTCAAAGAGTCCTCCGCCGCACTTTCTTTCAACCCTAAATCCCGAGAAGATATTTTATCATGAACATAACTTTCCGAACCCAAGATCTCAGTAATCTCATTGAAGAGCGACCTGAAGCTTGAAGTTTCAGCCGTTTCCGGGCACTGAGATTCTTGTGTTCCACCTGAACGAGAAGAACTTATTCGTTTTCTTGCAAGAGTCGAGAAACGAAGAACCTGAAACTGTGAGAGATGAAAGCGAAGAAAATTGAGTGTTGAATTTGAATATGGAGATTGGAAGCGGATTAGCTTTCGCATTCTTACAATGATCATCTTTACAGATTCATTCCGGTGAAATAATACATCTGTGGTAAAAGAAACTTACTTAAGTTTAATAAACTAAATCTACTAAAGTTATACAGTAGCGCTCGTGGCCTAATGGATAAGGCGTTTGACTTCTAATCAAACGATTGTGGGTTCGAGTCCCACCGAGCGTGTCTTTATATTTTATTTTTTCTTCTATTTTTTTCTTAAATTTTGATACAATTCAATAAATCAGAAATCAACGATGGTGGGTTCGAATCCCACCGAGCGTGTCTTTATATTTTATTTTTTCTTAAATTTTGATACAATTCAATAAATCAGAAATCAAATGATTGTGGGTTCGAATCCCATCAAGCGTGCTTAGTTATGATTTTGTCTAGGCAAGAAATCTCGTCCCGGTTTCACTCACAAGAATCCCCAACTTCTGTGTTGATGTTTTGATTAAAATATTCTGTGTGGAACGGCTTTGAATTTTAAAATGCGTTAGCGTCAAGTTCATTACTACTAAATATTGTCTGTTTTTGTGTATTATATATCGTCATCATGCTCACGAATTTAAAACTCGTTGAACAGGTTTCCACACCCTTATAAGAAATATTTAGTTCCACTATCCAACCACGGGAATTTATTACAATATATCTGCTAGCGATAGACTTATACTGTTACAAATGGTATCAAAATCAGCTACCGAACAGTGCGAGGCACTAGTCGAAATAGGACTAGACATTCTCCATAATTGACATGTATGAGGTTAAAGCATACAATATCTGGTGCTTGAGTCATTGTTGAGAGATCTCCCTGGTGAGAAAATGTTTAAGATGATGGACGCCAACATCAATGGTTCATTTACTTTTCGATTGCATTAGAATCAATGATTAAACAATGTCCCATCAAATTATTAAGGGAATGATTCTCTATTAGGTTCATGTACTTTACCTTTTTCATGCACATAACAAAATAAGTATTTGTGAAATTATTGACCGAATATAATAAATTACTAGGAATAGACGAGAAATAATTCAATCTCAAAATGGGTCTTATTCTTTAGTATTAATAATTAAAAAGGAACTACCAGATCCCGAGTTTTTAGGGGGTGGTGAGCGTTACACGTATAAAAATTATACTTTAAGGGAGTCTTCTTAGTTCTTGATATGGTATATGTCAGGTATGAGCCTATAACAGATGATAACGACTATTCGATAATTTACCTATATTTTTATACATAGAAGGACGCGAAAGGATAATTTACGATAAGAAAATGATTAGAAAATGACAAAGAATCATTGTGTGGAAAACTTATGCTTAGTAAAAAACATATAAGCCAACAACTATGGGTCCCTCTCACCATTAGCTTCATCCCCAACCTCTCTTTTTCAATTATACTATCTATGATTTACTTTTTCATCGCTAAAAATTAAATTATCCTCTTTACGAGACAAGACGGGACGAGAAGTCTTCCCTATTTTTGTTCTTAATTTTTATTTTAATGAAAAATTTCATTTATTTTTATGAAAATCGAGCGAAACTCCTTATAAACAATCTACAAAAAGATTAAATTAAAATATTAATTATAAAAAAATTAATGTATAATTTCTATTATAAAAACATAAAGCATACTAATA